TTCCAAGAACACTTACTCAAACGCCATTGTGGTCATTATGTGAAAAGTATTCGTATTCCACTGCTTCTTCTGCGATCTACAGGGGCGCAAATTATTTTGATCGAGAAAACAAAGGACAAAATGTATTGAGCGGCCCGCCAACTTCATGCAACCCAAGCTTCTTTTTGAAGGGAGAAAAAGAGGCGCAAGGTCATCTTCATTAATCGTAGACGAGCAGATGCGCACAAGCTTAAAACCGGGTAGGCTATCCGGGTTGGCTGCCTATGAATTAGCCGCAGTTGTTAGTTTCGGGCGAATGAAGATGTTAGTGTTAACCTTAAGCCGGAAAATCAGGTTATTCGTTTTCGCTGATGATTTATCAGTGCTTTCTTATTCGCAAGTCCTTTCAAAATGAAATTACGTGTCAGTTTTTCCAAAAAAGGCTATCACTGGACTGTAGATGCGATTTAAACTGATAAAGCAGTGTTCCTTATTAAGTACTGCTCTTTCAGCTATGTCAATGATCGTTTGCTGCGCAAATTTCGTGTTTTAGAATAAGAATATATCTCGTTCCCCCTTCTAGGTCCCGGACTACCAAAACGGTCAAGAAGATTTCAAAAGGGTGTTGGATTTTTTGGCTAACGGTTAAAATTTTTTCCCATCTACGGCTAATGGTTAATCTCTCTCCATTGCTGTCCCAGGATTTTTTTTGTGTACGGTCAACTTTTTTTTTTTATACGATTAACGGTTAAAATTCGTCAATTTTTACGCCTAAAGGCAAAATTTTGTGGCCGTTTTACGGCTAACGGTTACCCCATTGAGACCCTCGGTCAATGTTGTCTTATTTAATGACATACTTCTTCTACAGTTGTTAGTCTCAATCCGGACGCGATAGAACACTTTGTGCTGGACGTTCAAGCGCTTTATTTTACAGCCCGATCTGCCATTGAGGACAGTACTTCAACTCCAGAAAGACTAACCGGCCTTTGGACTAAGTTGGAAGCCGCTGTAATGAATTTAAGAAAAATCCAATGGCATCTTATAACCACGAAACCCTGTGCTGAGGACATTTTGGCCCCATTAGTTCAAAGTCTGTCGACCATAGAAATAAGGATTGGTAAAGTTATCGAGCAGTACAGCTGCCTTGTTCCTTTTCTAAGGGAGCAGTTGTGTTACCGGGCACCTGTGACCTCAACGGAATGGGTTGGTAGACCATCCTACGTAATTACGAAGGAGCAGTTGGAAGTGATGCGCTCCTATGGTTTGTCATGGGTAGAAATAGCGAAAGCACTAGGTGAGCCGAAAATAATTTCATAATAAAGAAAATGCTCACGCGGAGTCATTCGTATTTTTTCTTTTTTTTCTTTTTTTGTCATGCCCCTTTTTTCGAGAATGGATGTGTTCTCTTTTATTTTAATTCAAATTTTAAAAAGTTTTTGAACATCGATATGGCTGCTTTATATTGGCCACAGGTTGATCTATGTTTCATATTCGCCGTTATCGTGCTATAAAGGGTGTCTCATACGTTTTTACCTGTAATACTTTTCGCAGGGGTCTCGAGGGTGAATTAGCGGCTCGATCCCTCTACGCTAGAAGATCTGCCATCGCAGAAGCATTAGTTCGCCATGATCCTATAGGTGCAGGCCTGCGGTGGAGAAATTTGACCTAAAGAGTTACTTATAGCGTTCCAGGTAATTTTACATTCTGAGTTATAAAACTTTGAACCGCAAATCATAGATTTGAATAGATGTGATCAAGTGTGCTGCTTATTTCCATATTGCAACGCATGAAGTATGTGTCGCTAAGAGAATTGTGCAGGTTTTGATGTCCATTTTTTACACGTCGACCTTAACAGAAAAGGAGCTCATGTCCGTCCAACATTACCATATCTTGAGTATGACTTTGGATATTCGTTCTCGAATAGAGCCAATTACTTTCATCATAAAAGAACAAATGATCAAACCCAGGATCGTTGACTTATTAGTGTTTGAAATATATATTGTAGGCCCAAACAGCCTGTGGCACTTGGATGGCAATCACAAGCTGATACGGTAAGTAACAGACCTAAAACATACCATAAATACATTGTTTTAGATCGCCTGCACTGTTCTACAATAATGCTTGAGGATAATTAAAAATGATCAGAGCGGAAGACATTTACGTTCCTCATCAACAGCATTTTTTAACATGCTGTAATTCGTCTGTATTCGGGAATTAATACCTGTTACTTCCTTTAATGTATCTATGGAATTCAGTAGAGGAAAAATGCACCATATTCTACTCTTCCCCACTCATAATGTGAGTACCGTGTGAAAGGTGTTTTAAAACTCTTTTCTCAGATGGAGGTTGGTCGTGCACCGAGGAATAGACGGATATTCGAGGCTTGTTGTATTCCTCCGCTGTTCCAGCAACAACAGGGCAGCAACAGTGACCAATTTATTCTTAGGCGCCACAACTGAATTCTGTTGGCCATCACGGGTGAGGACAGATAAGGGTGGAGAGAATGCAGAAGTTGCGCGCCTTATGGTTGAAAAACGAGGAGAAGGTCGCGGCAGCATTTTGCAAGGTAGTTCGGTCCATAACCAGAGGATAGAGAGGCTGTGGAGAGACATGCGCAAAATGGTCACGGAGTATTTCCGACTCCTCTTCTATTTCTTAGAGAGGAACAATCTTCTGAATCCGAACGACGAACTGGATCTGGCAGCTCTACATTATGTATTTATTCCACGGATTAATGAAAATCTAGAAAAGTTTAAGGTGTCCTGGAACAATCATAAGCTATCTACTGAAAAACAAAAGACTCCAAATCAGTTGTACATTCTAGGAATGCTTAATTTGTTTGGATCAGAATATACAGCGGTAAAGGACTTCTTCGAAAGCAACGTCATAGACTCCAACTATTACGGCGTAGAGGAACCGGATGTCATTGATGCAGCGTCAGAGGGGGAGGAGGCTGTCGTGGTGCCTGAAACAATGCAAAACCTTTCTAACGCGAGCTTGCAGGAGTTGCAGCTACAAGTGAATCCGTTGGAGCGGGACACCAACCACGGCATCTCGCTTTACATTCGAGCAAAAGAATTCCTCTCGCAGCAAAATTAGCAATCGGTGAGCACGAGTTTTTTTCGCTGATGAGGTTGAAGCACGCAAAAAGTCTTCAAACCGGTTGTGCAGACCAAGCAATGTGGTCTACGATGTTGTTTTCGATGATGTCATTTAACGCAGTTTATTTCGGTATTTAAACACATTAGGGCAGCGTGTGCAATGGTTTTACACGAGAACAAGGCGGAAATACGGACTGAAGGCGGAGCAACCAAACTTTGTTTGTGTGTGCGTTTTATCTATTTATTTTTTATTTTAGGCTCTACTTTTTAAGCAACGAACTTTTAAGCGCATTATTTTTTTCCTTTTCATGATTTGTTTTGTCTTTCGCGTACGCCTTATGCGATCGATTTCATGTTATGATAATGCCGTGCGATATATTTCGAAACCCAGACGCCAAAATATAAGAAAACGTAATAACACTTGAATAATATATCTTTTATTCGATTTTTGACAAATAGGAAAAGTGCCCCCACGGGACTCAACAGTCTTTCTTTGTAGCAGGCCACACGACCTGAGAAGTAGATTCTTAGTGTCCTTGGGGTATTCTACTGACAGAGGGTCGGTTTGAATAAATTGGCCTTTACTGAAGCCGAACTGAAGTTTAACTTAATCTTAAATGGCTTTGTTTCACGTTCATTAAAAAAAAAAATTATGTCATTGTCTCGTAAGATCTCTGAATTTATATTTTTAGTTTCCCTTTGTAGTAGGCGAGTTCACCTGTCCCTTTGACTTCTTGTGTCCCTAGAGAATTATAACGATCGCACTAAGGGCAGTTTGAATTGTCCTTTATTGAAGCCGAGCTTGATTTTAACATTCCCTGGATTGCTGCTATTGTTTGTCATGCATTCTAAATAGCGTCTGGTTACTGAGTGGCAAGTTGTTGGCATTGATGTGTTTTGACGTGCTTAAAAAAACTCAAGAAACCCTGATATAAGAAATGGGTAACATTACACCGATAACTAACTATCCAAAGGACTACGAATGTCAAGTATGGTAAGGATAGTTTATCTTTCTTTTTTTTCTCAAAAATATGGAAAATTTAATTTCCGAAAAACTCAAATCCAACCATACGTTGTGTCTTTCATCTCCTATTGCTCAAACTACTGAAAAGTATGCGACAATGCCACCAACGAAAGCGTTCTTTATGTGCAGTAGTAGTTTTCGGTAGAAAGAGTCCGATTGATTGTGAGTCAAATTGTAACAAATTCAGTAGGTCTCACCGATTTACGCTTATTTCTCTACATGCCGTGTTAACTATTTTTAAGTTCGCTCCATGTTCCACATGCCTAGGATTAGACTGTTACGGGTTTAACTCCATCTTACAACACGCCCGACCTACAACGTCAGTTCATTCAAAAAACGTTAGAGTCTTTCCTACTATAGCAGCTAACAGACCACGCTGATCGTTTCGCGTTTACATGCTGGCGTTGGCTAGCGCGAGGCAAGCTTACGGGTGAACTCATGCATGCATATATCAGGTTTCTCAGAGCGTCATAAAATTCTCTTTAGTACAGCAACCAACCAACCGATAGCATAGAAACAGTGAAAAAAAATTTAGTCTTTTGATCGGACTCTTGAGCGCGGGAAAAAAAAAAAACCATAAAAATTTAAATGTATGGAATTTAGAACGCCATCAGTTCAAGCCACTCCCCTAAACCTCGTACGGGTAAAGGTAGATTTTTGAGGAATCTTTCGATTGACTTTCAAAAATAATCTGGGATCTGGGATTGTTTTGGGTCCGAATTCCCTTTGCGATTTTCTACACCTATTCATGAGTCGGTCGCATTTTCCCGCGTTTCCGGTAGTTTTATTTTTTTCTTTGCGTCCTCTGATTAACTCTCGTGAATTCCTTTGATTCTCTTATGCGAAAACTCAGAGCAGTCGAAATCCATGTTCTCTTTGTGCTTTAGTGATACCTGATGCTGGAGCCAATTATCGACTGCGGGCACACTTTCTGCAAAACGTGTATTAGTAGGGTGCAACAAAACCCAACTACCAGCCATTGCCCCCTTTGTAAAAAGCCTATATGGAGCTCCACACAACTGAAGACAAACTTCACCCTCAAAAAGCTTGTGGAGAAGATCGAGGTAAAATGTACAGCGTGCAACGAGAGGGGGAGCATCGAAGTGGTAGCACGGCACACCTGCCCCGATGCCCTCATATCCTGTTCGAATAGGGGCTGCCAACGCAGTATTAAAAGAAAGGACGAGCCGACCCATAAGGAGGAATGTCTCTACGCAGTCATCTCATGTGAACAATGCCACCAGAATACCACCGTGGCCAACAAGGAACTTCATCTTGAAAAGACTTGCCCAAGGGGAGAAATCCGTTGCCCTCTAAAATGCAGGAAGCGTCCGAGAAGGTGTGGTCACAAAGCGTTGTACATTATCATTTCAAACTTAAAATGAAATTCTCTTTACGTGCGTAAAAGAAAGCATCTGGTGTGGGTATGCAGTTTCTTATATTAGGTCTTTTATATTTGATTTTTTAAGCCCATGTAGACCATACTAGCATGTACGACTTTGAAAATTGTCACTGAGTTCAAGGTTTTCTTTATCTTTCCCAAGTGTACTCAAAGCTTACTGTAAATAATTTTTATAGAAATATCATCTTTAAATATATAAATCTCGTGAACTTTGGAAAGCTTCCCTTCAATTTGCTCCTCCGTCCAAGATTAAAATTGATACAAAATTAGCCCCAAAAGTTTACTTTGCGACTCAAACGCAGTGTTATTGGGAAAATATCCATGACTTGGCTTGTCTTATTATAATCCTTGACACTTTCAAGAATCAACAGCAAATAATGAAATAAACAAATACAAAATATTAGTTGAGCTGAACAGTTGCGACTTCTTTTCCTCATTAGTAGATACATTCATGTAGCTTTTACCTTTTGTTTACTCTTAGGATGGAGTTGCAAACCCATCTGCTTGTCTGCGAGGAGAGGCAGCGACAATGTAGAGTCAATGGATGCCATTTTGCTGGGAATTTTAAGGAGATGGAGCAACATAACAAGGAGCAAGCAGAAAAGCACGTGTCACTTCTGACAGAGATGGGTGAAAAGCTCTTAGACGTATTACTTAAAAAGGTAAGGCTGACCGAGGCCAATGCTCCTTAATGTTTTACCCTTCCGATCTTTAATTGTTACTTAATAGCTAGTGTGCACGTCGCTGCGTGTCCACAGATTTTTTAACAGTTCTACAAAACTTTGAACAGATTTCTGCTTTAAAAATCATCAGTCGAGACTGAAAAAGTTGACTGAGTAGATGGTCCTCTTGTTTCCTTTAGAATACGATCTCACAAGGATGATATAAAAATATACTATTTGAGGCAGATTTGGGGATGAAGTGCGGGGGAGGGGGAGTGGTCGAACATTTTTTTAACGCTGTTCAGCTTACAATAATCCCCCAGTGAATTTTCCTTTCACTTTACTCATTATGACGCTGATTTGATTTCCAACACAACAGGACACGAATGACCTGACCAAGACAAAAATGGCACTCGGAGGTTTCTGTTGGTCCATCTTCAACTTCAAACAAATGGCAGCAGATATGCTACAAGCCGGAAACACTGCAGAACCGATGGCCAGCGGAGTTTACCAATTTGAAGAGTGTAGTTGGAGGATGCTGCTGTACGTACGTCACACAAAGTGAAAGTTATTCTTGCAGTTGCACTGAGCCGTTCATCCTGTACAAGCTTTATTCAGGTAAATCAGATCACCCCCTTGATTACGGATTGGTTACTCTTGCTAAACCGTATACCTATAAGGTTAACCTGTACAAGCTATCAACCTTCTACAAAATGAATCGGCTGAATCAAAATAACGCATGCTTAGTAACTTTAATCGGTCATATCTGAGTAGATAGCTCCAAAAACCTAAGAATTTATAAAGGGAAATAACTAAAACTTCTTTCTCTTACTTTTTCCTCTTTTCTGTTGTGTTGTTGGTGTTGTTGCTTTTTTTTTTTATGTTTTTTTGGGTGTCTGTGTTTGTGTGTGACTGTAAATATATGAAAATCATATATGTGAACTGCGGTTAAAGAAGTGAAAATGAAAGAGAACATGGCAGTAATAAATACTTCTCAAGCAGCAGTGAAAAAAAGACCTAAATAGTGCTCATTACTGCGATGTTCGCTTTCATTTTCACTGTCTGTGTGTGTGTTGAGATAAGAAAAAAATTAACCTCTTAAAAATTTGTTTTAGAATTGTCATCGGGCTGGCAAACCCAGTAGTCATTGAGCTGGAGCCAGATCTTCGCCTGCGGGAAGGGGAGACCTTCGGGACTGAGGTTACCCTGGCAAAACTGGAACGAGAGGCAGAAAGGAACTCCGGCTGGCTTTTTATGGAAATATTTATTGAAAGGTTTTCTTTTTCTTTGTAAATGTTCAGTTGTGAAATGAAGATATGACACACTGTTACCTTAAGTTGAGTGACTGTGATGCAGTGTTCTCTCAGACTGATGTACATCAAAATGAAAGCTTTTTCTACGACCGTCCGCATCGTTAAAGTGAATATTTCTGAACCAGCGAAATAGTATATTCGGATTTTCATAATAAGCTAGGAATAACCTTTTTTGTGTGACCGACAAAGAATCCTCAGATAACGTTTAATATTTCCACGTAGCTATAGCTAAGCGAGTATGACGTTAGCGAGAAAAGAAAGAAAATACAGCGCACGTGAAAACACTGCATCATAACCATAAACATGGTTTAGTTATTCTTCTTTTTGTAATAAATAAAGAGACAGTTTCGTTGAGATGATCAAACTATATGTTAGGCTAAAAGAGTTCCATTGCCTTTTTAAAATTGCTTGAGCCAAATTTGAACCATAGGCTGACGACTTTTGACGTTGTGTTAAACTTATAAATAAGATAGACAAGACCATAGCTGTGGCGCAACAGATAATTTCATTCTTTTTTGGGCGTTTCCCCGATCCGTTCGCATTTCTCAATTTAGTTCCTTTCGGTTTTATACTAGCATCGTTTTAAAAAGCTTTTATTTACCTTTTTCTCATACATTTAATGCAAGAAGATCAAGTTTTTTGTTTTTAATAATAGGGATGTGATTAGTCATGTGCACAACATTTAGTGAATAATAAATTGTTGTGGCAGAATGGCTGTGGAATCTTTTGGTTTGGTTTCATCTTACTTTACAAGTTTCCTTGCTCTTAAACTTCCCTTTACGAAAAAATATCTACCACTGTAAACTTTCTTTTTCCCTCAAATGTTGCTGATTTTCTCTATAAGGTGGCTTTCCGGTTCTACTAGCATGTTATTAAAGCACGAGCTGATTATTGTCGTATGTTGTAGCGTTAAAACATTCATGAAAAGTTTATGTTATAACTTTTCCAGAGATACTTTCATTTGGATAATCCGTTAGTTATTGTACGATAACTTAACAAACTGTGATGATAGTGTCAAAATTTTGCCAAAATCGCCATGAATACCAAAACAGGGCTTTCTTCATTTATTGCGAGGAAGTAGAGAAATGCTTCCTTAATTTGGTCTTAATCAATACCCTTATGCTAATGGTACATTTCTTAATTGTACAATATACGCGAAGTTAAAGGAGAAGACTAACCGCAGTCTTTTATATTGATATACAGTTTTTATTATCTATCTAAAACTATCCTAACCTTGTACCGTGAGAAGTCTGGGTAGGAGAGTACTCTGCGGTTATCAGAGTCGGCGATTGAGAAAATTATCAGGCTCCGGCAATGAGACCAATTTCGGACTCGACGATTGTAATGAATAATTTAAGGACTCGAGCATTAATATAAAGCACGGTGATAAGTCGAAATCCATTTCAATAGTAAACACAGACATGGGAAATAATATCAGACACGGAAAATAATATCAGACACGGGAAATAGCAGACAATAAGGAGATCTGAACAATAACGGACCCTGTTAATTGATTTCCGTCACGAAAATTAATTTTTCGATAGGGAAAATACCCTGACTGAATTTTGAACGGTATCTTACGCCATAATAATCGAGTAAAAAAGGCATAAGGTTTCTCTGAAAAAAAATAAACGGAGGACATCTCTTTAAAGCCAAAGAGATCACTAAAGAGCTTACAGCATTTGCTTAATGGCGAATACGTGAAGACACGCAGTTTAAGTAATTGACAGATTGTAAAGTGTTTTGAATGACGGTTTTACCTCACAATCGTACGAGTTAATAGAATGATGTAAACGAATCTGTGATCGTTTTTAGGTGACGCAGTCAGTTAGTCATTTGAGGAAAACACATGCGTAATTAAAAACAATTTGTTGTTAGGGCTGGCAAAAGATGGTCGCATGTAATAGAACAAGGTTAAAAATTAATTCTAAAACTATTCACTGTTCGTCAACTGATCCTACGTGCAAATAGAAGAACCACCCGTAGGGGGATTTGGTCTCATTGGGACCAGAGCCAAATATCTTTGTTTTTAGTGTCGGTATGGAATACAGTCGTAACCGCATCGGCCACAAGGCAAGACAAGATTTGAAATTTTCCAATATCATTTTTCCGTTAAACGGCTAATGGTTAAACCATTTCGAACGTTTTTTAAAAAAGTGCGAGCGGACTTTTCCTGATTCAAAAGCCTTGTCATGTAATTCTCCCCTACTGGCGGAAACTGTTTCGTAACTCACTTAAACTTTCTGATTTTGGTGACTTAAAGTAACTTGTACTTGTACTTTTGCAATTGAAATTATAGAACCCCTTCGTGGGTGGGTCAAATCAGACTAGTTCGAAAGTGGGGCCTGGTGAGATTATAAATCTCAAGAGGTTGATATCTCTGCAGAGGCATTTGTCACTCACTTACCTTTAAGTGATTTAAGAAAGTACCTGTTTTCAGAAGATTTCAGGTTGTCATTCGCTTAAATGCTTTAAATATAGCCAATGAATCTTAAAAGTGCGGCTGGTGCTTTCCATCCGTATTTAAGGGTTTTGTTTGATAACAAACAGGATATATTAGGTAATCAACTTTGTTGATAATACCAAATTACCTTGTTATTCTCTCCCATCGAGGCAGTACCGCGGTTTCTTGAGAATGTTACCCCGTTCATAGAATTTCTTGGGGTCAACTGAAATTGATAAGACGGTGATATCACCCCTTCCCATTTCAATCACGAACAGTCATAGAAGGAATCTAATTCCATATTCATAGCTTTTCATGCAACTGAAAAAATGAAATCGTTTACTCTTAGGCCTCTAACGTATTATGCGATGAATATGTAAAATAACTCACAAGAAGAATCAGTGGTTTACCCTTTTGCATTACGGTATGTGAAATGTTAACTACTACAATTTCAACATCAATTCTTATGAACTCGCGTATCTTCAGACAAAGATTGACCCTTAAAACATGTCTTCTTTCAAAGTCGCGGAAGTGCGGTGTCATTTCCAACTCAGTTTCCCCAGCTCTGCATGACTTTTGAAGGGCTACCTCGACCAGCGGGCGTTTTCATTAAGTTGAAGTTCATGACGAAAATTCTCGATAGAATTGATTCCATTAGAGCTGTCAATAGCGATCACAGAAGTACTTTACTTTCACGATTTTTGGGCATAAAACATGTGCGCATGCACTCAGGTAATTAAAATCTCAGTGGCAGATAGAGACTCAGTTAGTCTATAGGAAACCTTGCCTGCCATATCTTCGGTAGAGTTTCTCTATTTCTCTTCAAATATTACATTTAGGCAGCGTGGTGCATACATCACCAATAGAATTATCATGAGAGGCGTTCAACAAGGAGTAGGTATGTGACATCAAGCTAGAAAATTGGGGTGCTTAGATCCAATTCTCACTTATCCGAATGTAGGACTTCTCATGAAACATTTTTTACTTAGAGGGGATCAGAGATCTTTCAGCAACTAGCCTATGGGGTTTATATGCAACGCTCATCTTGCAATACAACAAGAACACTCGAAGAGCATACCTTATATTATCAATAGCGTTGCATGGAAAAGAAGTCGCCTTCAAACGTATCGGAATTTTTTTTTTTTTTGATGCTCTTCTAGAAAAAAGATAAACAAATATAATCAGTCTAACATTTTAGAAAAGAATGTTTCAGTCCTTTTCAATCCATCTCTTCCTATACGAATACTACCTTTATAAAGCAGGTATTTTTTTTTTGGGACTGGTCTGTTGTGGTTAGATATGAGAATTATCTTCCACCATTTTGCTGAAAAAACAAGCTTTGAGCGCCTTGAATTATCTTCGTCTCATTTATTTTACCATACACTACCTCATTGTCCTTTATCCACGTCCTTTGCCTTTATTTACCGTCATCTACCCTAATCTACCTTAATTTTCTTCAGCTAACTTCATCTACCTTAATTCACCATGTTCTTATCTTATTCACCTTTATATCCTTCAATGCTCTTCCTTGTCCTTCATCTATCTTCTTTTGGCCTCATCCACCTTCATCAACCTAAAATTACAATCATTTATCTTCATCTTCCTTCCTCTGCTTTCATCTATCTTCATCTAACGTAGTCTACTTTCATCTACCATTCTTTACTTTCAGACCTTCATTTGCCTTTGTCTATCTTTATGTACCCTGATCTATCTTCCTTCTCCTTTTATCTCCTTCATTGTTCTTCAGCTACTTTCATTTATCCTCATCCTCCTTCAGCTACTATCTTCATCTACCCACATCCATTTTCATCTTCCATCGTTTACCATCAGATAACTTCATCTTCCTTCTCTACCTTCATCTGTCTTATCTACCATCTTATATCTTCATTCACCTTCATCTATCTTCATTTACCATTATCTACCTTCACTTATCTACTTTTATTTCCCCTCTTCTAACTTTATCTAACTTCGAATGAATTAACCTTCAACTTCCTTCACTTACTTTCATCTCCTAAATATACCATCATTTACCTTCATCGGCCCTATTCTACCTTCAAGCACCTTCATCTAATTTCATTTTCCTGAATGTACAAGACTTTGCGTTTATTTCACTTTATCTACCATCATCTACCCTTATCTACCCTAATTTCCGTTCACTTACCTTATTCTCCCCTCATCTACCGTCATTCACCTTCAACCATCTTCATCTCCCTTTTTCTATCATCTTTTACCTTCATCTCCTATCATCCATGAAAAACTTTTCAAAAAGTGCAGTTTTTCACAGTTATCCTTTAAAACGCCAAAAATCACTTTTCTGACCATCTAAATTTCAACAATTTCTGAGGAGCATGCTATCTATTTACCCCTTCAAGGACTTTATTTATTCAGCGAATATTAATCCGACCCCCCTTACTAATCCTCGATCGGCGCTAAGCAGTGAATTCACACCATGTAATAAGATTTCTATCCTTCAGGTTCTGCTCTACTTTTCCTGGCACTCTCTGTGACTTATCAAATTCAACCATCAACGCGGGCATTCCCAATAGATTGCCAAAAGAACACTGCATTCTGTTTGAAAAAAATAACGAGGGACGTCACCCAAGTTCAGGAGAACAAAACGGCATTGGCGAGATGTAAGCACGATTCCCCTTCGTTCATGTGTGTTACTACCTTTATTAAAATTCATTAATTACTATTTTTATCATTATTTTTCAAGAGAATACAAACTGTTATTCCCCTTCTATTTTATCAACAGCTAAGAACTGTGTTGAGCTCTACTATTCCGGTCAAAGGATCAGCGGTGTTTACACAATCGACCCAGATGGCTCAGGTGCCTTTAATGTCTATTGTGACCAAACTACTTCCGGTGGGGGATGGACATTCTTCCAGAAGAGAATGGACGGCTCCATTGATTTTAACCGCACCTGGAATGACTACAAATATGGCTTCGGTAACTTGCTCAGTGAATTTTGGCTCGGACTGGACAAAATAAACCGTCTGACACAAAACAAAGCCAAGAGCATGCTTCGAATAGATCTGGGGGTAACTACGCGCCAAACTGTTCACGTTGAGTATGAATGGTTTGGGATTGGGAACACGACGGCTGACTACCGCCTGCACATTGGTAATATGACGAGTAAGAAAGCCGTCTTTTTAATCTGGCAATCACAATTGTAATAAAAGCGAAGTCGACCGATCAGAGGACGCAGAAATCACTATTTACAAGAACACTTTGCTGTCACAAAGTTTTAAGAAAAATCCACTAGTTTAATTTTCGTTTCAGTTGATGTGGGGGCGCTGCCCGCGGGACTGTTTGGATCTAATTTTCCCCAATGGATATCGTCCCAGGTTTCCTTTCGATAATGCGGATAAATTCCGTTGAGATTCGACCAAACAGCACAAGCACTACTCTTGCCATACCACCAGCCTCCGCCTCTTTTTTGAGCACAATAAGCTGGATCTCTATCCCAAGTACCAAAAATGAGATCTTTGTGAGGATTGAGGGAATCAAAGAAACAGTTGAATCTGCTTAAAAATAATAATAATGATAATAATAAATAAGAAAATTCCATAATATTAGGATTAGCATAACACTTTTGACACCTCAAACTCGATAGCTACGAATCGACGAAGTAGGGCAGATATCCAAATACAAAAACACCTGGCAAAATAAGAAAATACTCAAATTTTATGATTTTTCTAAAGCCGAGGTCAATGAATTTTCTATCTCAAGCAGCTTAAGAAAATATCCAAGGAGGAGCGCGGACTCAACTTGGTATGGGCAGAATTAACAGCAAAACACAGTCAAACGGGCATACACTAAAACGAACCATTCTTTGCAGGTTACGAGGAGTTGGGAGAAGGGATTGAATTAAAAACCAGTTTTTCATAGGATTCAAGTTGTCACTAACTTGTTAATTTGCTAAATTTGCTAAGTTTGAAATGGACATACATCAGTTTAAGCAGCCTCTCTGAAGAAACACATTTTAAATGGTTTTAGCAAAACAGCTCTTAAGCTTTGGTGTGAATGGGGCAGTAGACGTCGATAGGGAAGTAACACATAAAAAACGAACGATGAATGTTTAAAAAGACGGCTTACTTACTTGTCATATTACCAATGTACAGGCGGTAGTCAGCCGAAGCATTCCCAATCCCAAACCATTCATACTCAGCGTGAACAGTTTGGCGCGTAGTTACCCCCAGATCTATTCGAAGCATGTTCTTTGTTTTGTTTTGTGTCAGACGGTTTATCTTGTCCAGTCCGAGCCAAAATTCACCGAGCAAGTTACCGAAGCCATATTTGTAGTTATTCCAGGTGCGGTTAAAATCAACGGAGCCTTCCACTCTCTTCTGAAAGACTGTCCATCCCCCACCGGAAGTAGTTTGGTCACAATAGACATTAAAGGCGCCTGAGCCGTCTGGGTCGATTGTGTAAACACCGCTGATCCTTTGACCGGAATAGTAGAGCTCAACACAGTTCTTAGCTGTTGATAAAATACAAGGGAATAACAGTTTGTATTCTCTTGAAAAATAATAATAAAAATATAAATTAATAAATTTTAATAAAGGTAGTAACACACATGAACGAATAGGAATCGTGCTTACATTTCGCCAATGTTTTGTTCGCCTAAACTTGGGTGACGTCCTTCGTTATTTTTTTCAAACAGACTGCAGTGTTCTTTTGGCCATCTATTGGGAATGCCCGCGTTGATGGTAGAATTTGATAAGTCACAGAGAGTGCCAGAAAAAGTAGAGCAGAACCTGAAGGATAGAAATCTTATTACATGATGTGAGTTCACTGCTTAGCGCCGATAGAGGATTAGTAAGGGGGGTCGGATTAATATTCGCTGAATAAATAAAGGGGTAAATAGATAGCATGCTCCTAAGAAATTGTTGAAATTTAGATGATCAGAAAGGTGATTTTTGGCGTTTTAAAGGATAACTGTCAAAAACTGCACTTTCTTGAAAAGTTTTTCACGGATGATAGAAGATGAAGGTAAAAGATGATAGAAAAAGGGAGATGAAGATGGTTGAAGGTGAATGACGGTAGATAAGGGGAGAATAAGGTAAGTGAACGGAAATTAGGGTAGATAAGGGTAGATGATGGTAGATAAAGTGAAATAAACGCAAAGTCTTGTACATTCAGGAAAATGAAATTAGATGAAGGTGCTTGAAGGTAGAATAGGGCCAATGAAGGTAAATGATGGTATATTTAAGAGATGAAAGTAAGTGAAGGAAGTTGAAGGTTAATTCATTCGAAGTTAGATAAATTTAGAAGAAGGTAAATAAAGGTAGATGAAGATAAATGATGGTAAAAGAAGAAGTAAAATGAAAATGAAGATAAGTGAAGGTAGATAAAGGTAAATGAAGATAAATGAAGGTGAATGAAGATATAAGATGGTAGATAAGGTAGATGAAGGTAGATGAAGGTAGATGAAGGAAGATGAAGTTATCTGAAGGTGAATGATGGCAGATGAAAATGGATGTAGGTAGATGAAGATAAAAGATATAAGCTGAAGGAGGATGAGGATAAGTAAAGAATGGTAGATCAAAGTAAAGAATGGTAAATGAAAATAGACCACGGTAGATGAAGGTAGATGAAAGCAGAGCAAGATAGATGAAGATCAATGATTGTAATTTTTGGTTGATGAAGGCAGATGAGGCCAAAAGAAGATAGATGAAGGACAAGGAAGAACAACGAAGGATATAAAGGTAAATGAGATAATAACAGGGTAGATGAAGTGAGATGAAGAAAATTAAGGTAGACTAGGGTAGATGAAGGTAAATAAAGGCAAAGGACGTGGATAAAGGACAATGAGGCATAGTATGGTAAAATTAAATATATATATATATATATATATATATATATATATATATATATATATGAATGTATATAAATATTATAAATATTCATTGCATGATACGTTAGAGGCCTAAGGGTAAACGATTTCATTTTTTCAGTTGCATGAAAAGCTATGGATATATATATGTATTCCATACCGACACCAAAAACAAAGATATTTGGCTCTGGTCCCAGTGAGACCAAATCCCCTTACTGGTGGTTTCTCCTTTTTGCACGTAAGACGAGTTGACGAACAGTGAATAGTTTTAGAATTAATTTTTAACCTTGTTCTGTTACATGCGACCATCTTTTGCCAGTGACCAGCCCTAAAAACAATTTTTTTTTAATTGTGCATGTGTTTTCCTCAAAAGACTAACTGACTGCGTCATCAAAAAACGACCAGAGATTCGTTTACATCATTCAATTAACTCGTACGATAGTGAGGTAAAACTGTCATTCAAAAGACTTAACAATCTGTAAATTACTTAAACAGCGTGTCTTCACGTATCCGCCATTAAGCAAATGCCGTAGGCCCTTTAGTGATCTCTTTGGCTTTAAAGAGATGTCCTCCGTTGATTTTTCCAAAGAAACCTTATGCCTTTTTTACTCGATTATAAATCAGCTTTGATAAAGCGAGAGCGGATATCTTGTGGATATCAATAGACTAAAAAACTTAAACTACGACGAAAATGAGATTAAAATACAACAATTTTGTAGATCCCCTCTTGGGCAGGTACTTTTGCTAGGGGGCTTTTCATCCGTGAAGTCAGTCCGAGGGAATCGAATTATGTGATTGTCGACCAATTAATATGGTATATCCCCTACTCATATAAATGCTATTTTGTGCTAGAAGCCCTGTTTGTGCTTATTTTCAGTTGCACTAAAAGTAAAAGATCCCACGAAAGCTGTTCAAACTGCCCAAGACACTTCGTTCTTCTTGTTTATAACGATTCTGTAGGTTTTATATTTAATGGCCAAGGATGTTTCTGTTTGTTGTGCGAAGCTACAAGAGTGGCTCGAAACTTTGCTCCCCACATTCCTTTGATACCTATCTCCTTAAAAATGCGTCGATTCTGAGGCAAACAAAGAATGCAATAGTCTATCTCACATTAGGGTCTATCTAAGAGCCGAATACGAAAGAAATAGATGTTTAAGTTGTTTTCACCGAGTGTGGATAAATTCGTTTTCAATTCTTGGAAAAGACGAATTTTGGCACGAACGACGATAAATCAGCCAAAAGCTTAGGCATAACTCTAGCTTGTTAGGGAGATATTGTCAAAAACTAAACGTAGCCGTCCACCGTGCCATTGACTCGACATTGGCAAGCCATTTCCAGGGCAGCCAACTTGAAACTCAGTCTTTCTAAAAGAAGGTCATTCTATATACTACGAAAATGTTTACGTTTGAAAAAGTAAGCATTAGTTCTAAGCTCCCCTTTTTACGTAAGTTTATATGCATCAGATGTTACATACCTATTCCTCGGCGATTGCCACTCATTGCAGATCCTCGAACAACTATTTGCTAACAACCATTTAGTAAATAGACTAATAAAACCTCAACATCTAAGTATTGTTAAGTGCACTTGTCTCTCCAATTTGATTGCTTTTCTGTCTCCTGTGTGCTCCTTGCAAGAAATGATCAAAGTTTGTGCATAATGACGGTCTTTTAAATATTTGTTAAAAGAAAAAACAAATTACCAAACAAATATCCTTTATTTTAAGTTCTACGTGAGACTTTAGACTTCCGCAGTTATTTAAGACTTACTAATTTGGCGGAAAATGCTCTTGTTAATACGTGCTATGACCATCCTATCCTTTTGGTTGGTCTTGCACAGAGTTCGTGCAAACTGGCACGGAATCTGTCATGGTTAATGATTGAGGCGTCGTCTCATGTAGTCTCTGTTCAGAGCGGCAAAACAAGGTTATAATAGATATTTCCTGATGTTAAATATCATAAATGATATTCTGACCAGCGAATAAAAGGCTAATTAAGAAATGATTCTTGCAGAACAGAACTCGACGGAATTCAAACTCGGTACTAAGATCCAAGCTAAGAAGCCGGATGTTGGGAGAGACCAGTGTGATAAGTCAGTGGCCCAAACATGACAGATTTCCTTCGTCATTTGCACGAATAATGTCATGCAACATATTGATAAATTTTCCCTTCTAGTACATTACGTTATTGCGGTAAACACGAGCGATACACACTCTCTGAACAAATCTCATTTGTTTTCCTGCAATTCTGGACTAAAAACTCTTGAATGCAGCAAATTTGCAAATAACAAACGCCGGAAA